CACAGCGGAGAATACGACGTCGTTCCCGGCTGCCGCCGCCAGGTGGGCAGCGTTGCTGCCTTCCTCGGGCGGCAGGGTATGATTTGGCACCCGCTGGCGAGAAGCCAGCGACCGAGCCTCGAGCAGTCAAGGAGACAGAGCACATGCCCAGATAATGACCCCAGGAGAGCCCGAAATGGTGGTGTTGTTTGTCGTGCCTTCCCTATACGCTGCAACGACAGACAGGGACGCTGACAGGATAAAAACTATACAGCCAATGGCATTTGAATGAACTGCACATGGGGAAACACAGTCTTGCGTCATGAGTGATGCGCGCAACAAGGGGGCATCCTGCTGGGAGAGCAGGCTAGTCATGTTAGCTTGGTCTGTAGATGAAGGAACACGGCAAATGGATTGCACACGGCCTTCTGAATTTTGCCAGAGTGAATGTGGTCCCGGGGTCTCACCTAATGCCCAGATATGCCAATGCATCGACAATGCAAGGCTGGAAGCAGCGCTTGATTCCAGATCGCTGAGATGCCGTGCAATCTGCGATTCCATTTTCCCTGACGACGTACGGGGACTCAGCGTTCCCCCCCACACACCCTGGCACCCAGCTCCCCAACACTCAACAACCTAGCACCTGCCACTCCTCCACCTTCTCCTTCCCTCCTTGTCCTTATAAATCACTCCTCCGTCGCACCCCCAGACGTGTTGATAGGGCGGAGGGCCGGGCATTTCGCCTGAGACCTCTCCACAGTTTGTGATCCTGAAAGTCAGCATTTGCACGGATGGGGGAATGATGCTTTTCATAATAGGGCTCCTGTCGTAGCGCCGCGCGCATTCGTGTTACATGTTTTTTTTCGCAGTTTCAAATACAGCTCCCGCGCAAGATCCTTGTCATTTTATCGTACTTTTTTCGTGAGATCTATCGGATCTTCTTCCGGACGCACGGATACTGCCATGTGTTGCACATGGATTGGGTACGTCCCTGGGCAATTTCAGCAATTGTTGTTCGCGGTCCCCGGTCCAAGACCTGTCAAATTCGGCCAATATCGGTCCTTGGCCCCTCCCAGGGCCCAATCCGGCCTGCTTCTCGATGCGGATCCGACCGTGGCGACGACAAGCCTCCAGGATGCCCGAAGAGGACGAACAAAAGCTCGATGGCACCGCCGTTGTCTCGACTGGCCCTCCTCCGATCTTGGGAGGGGGGGCGGGTGCGCTTGCTCCCCCGCCCCCGCCCGCTGCCGCCTCCTGGGCTCCAGGCTCTCCGCTCCTCGCCCGGCGTGGCGCCGTCGTGGGCGCGCCGTGCGCCGTCGTGGGCGCGCCGTGCGCCGTCGTGGGCGCGCCGTGCGCGTGGGTGGAAGTCCCACCGTCCCACCCCCCCCCGACATCCGTAGGGGGCCACATGCGAACCCTACCCCTACCCCCCACGATTTCTGAGGGGGAGGGTGGGGTTCACTTCGTTCGGCAGCTCCCGAGTAAACTGAACCCCGCCCTCCCCCTCAGAAATCGTGGGGGGTAGGGGTAGGGTTCGCATGTGGCCCCCTAATCCGACGATGCCACTTCTTCCACAGAAAAACAGCTCAACAAAGACGACACAAGCATCCACTTACGGAGCTCTGCGCGGATTTGTCGGATCGGCGCTGGGCCGGACGCGCGCCAGGGAGGGGGGTTCCAGCGCCGACCGAAGAAATCCGCGCGGATCTCACGCAACGAATGTCGACGCAGTTTTTTCCCCAAACAGTGCTTGCCCTTGCTTCGTGAAGGAATTGGATATGCGTCTTGAGGACTCGCCACGTTCTGGCTTGTTGCCGCCCCGGTTGGCGCCCGTGGGGGCAAGAATTCCCCACGTTCCGGCCCTGCTGCCGCCCGCGGGTGCGTCCCGAGGATTCACCGCGATCCAGTCCGTTGCCGCCCGCTGCCGCCTGTGGAGTCCAGAGGATCCGCCACGTTGCAGCCCGTGGCCGCCCGTGAGGGTGTCGCGAGGATCCGCCATCCCGCGACCGCCCGTGGCCGCCTCGTGGCGCTCGGTGGGTCTGTGTGCGGGGATGGGATTGCCTATGTTTGGAAGTCGGAGAGGGGTGTGGCATAAAGGGTTATGGTGCCAGTGGTGGAAATGGCGATGCTATCTGCGATGAGTACGGTGTGGGCGTTCGTTAAGGAACGTGCCCAGGAGGCTTCAGACTCTGGAGGGTTCCTTATCTGATGAGGGCGGCGGTGATATACATGGCCAATCCACGATTGGCTTTCCACTGGCTTCCTGACCCTGGGGTCCTTATCGAAGGTTTCCTTATCCAATGCCCTCACCGTAACATCGCCAAATTCGCCTTTACATAAAATTATCCCAGTGCGACCCTACCTAGGAGTTGGAGCCCCTAGGAAAGCAGCATTAGTAGTAACAGTAAAGCTAATCTAAATATAAGCTAAAGCTAAACTAAAGCTAAGCTAACGCTAAGCTAAAGCTAAGCTAACGTTAAGCTAACTCTAAGATAAAGCTAAGCTGAAGCTATGCTAAAGCTGAGCTAAAGCTGAGCTAAAGCTGAGCTAAAGCTGAGCTAAAGCTAAGCTAAAGCTAAGCTAAATCTGAGCTAAATCTAAGCTGAAGCTAAGCTAAAGCTACGCTAAAGCTAAGCTAAAGCTAAGCTGAAGCTAAGGTAAATCTAAGCTACAGCTAAGCTAAAGCTAAGATAAAGCTAAGCTAAGCTAAAGCTAAGCTAAAGCTAAGCTAAAGCTAAGCTAAAGCTAAGCTAAAGCTAAGCTGAAGCTAAGCTAAAGCTAAGCTAAAGCTAAGCTACAGCTAAACTAAATCTAAGCTAAAGCTAAGCCACATATAAGCTAAATCTAAGCTACAGCTAAGCTAAAGCTAAGCTAAAGCTAAAGCTAAAGCTCCCAGGGGACTGGGGGAACCGCGGGGCGGGGACTGGGGGAACCGCCCGGGGCGCTTTACACTGCCCGGCCCTTTAAGCTAAGAGAGTAAGAACCCTTCTAGGCAGAGCCTAGGTAGGGAATTCGCACCACACCCCTTTATACCATAAACCTGTCGTACCTGCAGACTACTATGGGCCAAGCCCCACTCCTGGTCAAAACCTTGCCTATCGAAGGCCCCGGCTCGCCTGCGAAGGCGGCCAAGCTCCAGCTAATTGTACCGATCCTGCGTCCTGCCGTGGCTCGCGAGAACGCTCCGACACAGAAAGCAACAGAACGACTGCTTGCAATCGCCCCTCACGACGCCGACGACGGGCGGCGCGCGCGCGCGCGCCCTTATACCCGTCGCTCGGGAACCAACGCGGCGATCCGCTGGTTCACTCTTGGGCGCGGCACCGGCATGAGGGGGCGAGGAAGGTCGGGGGGGGGAAGGGCTCTCGGACCCGCGAGCCCCCGAAAACCCTACCGGGGATGCCGTCAAAAACAAACATGCGCCAATAATGCAGGGTACCCCCCCCCCCCCCCGCGTAAGAATTCCAAACTGGGGGCTTGCACAGGGCAGTTTTTCATACATGTGGTTTACAAAGAAATACAAAAGCATAGGGCTTCTGATACACGATTAATTCATGAAAATAAAGGTATGCGTGGGCTCATCGTTGTTTTTGATACTAAATCCCTGCATTTTTGATACGGCAGGTTCGTGTCGTGTCGACCCCGGCGTTGGTTCCTGACACCGCGCTGGATCGTTCAACCTTGAACGATCGGCCGTCTCCGCAACGTCCGATCGTTCCACATCGACCGATTCTGGGTCGCCGGCGGCGTTCAACCTTGAACGCCCGCGCTGGGGTCGCCGCGAGTCGACACGACGCAAACCTACCGTAGGGTTTCTGATACACGATTAATTCATGAAAATAAAGGTATGCGTGGGCTCATCGTTGTTTTTGATACTAAATCCCTGCATTTTTGGGGGAGGAGGAAGAGGAGGAGGAGGAGGAGGAGGAGGAGGAGGAGGAGGAGGAGGAGGAAGAGGAGGAGGAGGAGGAAGGGGAGGAGGGGGGAGGAGGAGGAGGAGGAGGAGGAGGAGGAGGAGGAGGAGGAGGGAGAAGGAGTAGGAGGAAGGAGGAGGAGGAGGAGGAGGAGGAGGAGGAGGAGGAGGCAGGAGGAGGAGGAGGGACCCCGCCCCGGAGAAGCGAGGAGGGAGCGCCGCCCAGGGGCCCAAGAACGCCACGCGCGCGCCATCTCTTCGGGGGGGGGGGGGGGCGAGCGGGGGAGCAGCGGGAGACGCCCCGCCCGACGGCGGGGCGGCCGCGCGGCCCCCGTCGAGGGATGCTCCTCGGAGGATCTCTGCGAGGGAGGCGGCGGAGAGCAGCTCGTGCACGCGGGCGGCTTCCGCGGGAGGCGCCCCGCTGGCAAGCGCGCAGCTCCAGCGGGCGCGCGAGCGGCATTTGCACGAAGAGGCTGTAAGGGGAAGCGACGAAGTCCATGGCCCAAAACTGAGGACGGGCAAACGCAAGATTGCAAGGCGGATCCCAGCCTTAGAGCAGAGAGGAAAGGACCAACGGGAAACATGTGACGCCAAGAGAAGATGTCCAAGGACGAAGCCGCAGAGCTCGAGATGCGCAGAACCAGCCTCGAGGCAACATGTTCCCCTGCCGCATAGATGCCGGCGTTGGGCCTCCACGCTTTCTTTTGGGATCTTCAATGATAATTCTACTGTCGGCTCCGGGGCCCCCCGGGCGGTCCTCCTTCAGAAGCGCGGCGCGAACGTCCCGGCGCGTCGCAACAAACTGAGTCGCCAGTGCGTCGGGTTTCCCCGCCGCAATTGCCACGGTGGCAGGTTTCCCCGCCGCTGCGGGGACAGACCTGGGAGAGCGCTTCGCGTCGGGTTTCCCCGCCGCCGCGGAGACGCACCTCGGCGAACGCTTCGCGCCAAGCTTCCCCGTCGCACTGGGGAGCGATCAAGCGGGGTGCTTAGAATCAGGTTTCCCAGCCGCGAACGCACGCGCGCCTGCTTCACCCCCCCCCGCGCTCCACGCCCGCCCATTCCCCTCGGGCGGGGGGGCGGCGTGGGGTGGCCAACGGTGGCCGCGAAGGCGGCGGCTTCGGCCGCCAGGGCGCGCGCCTCGCCGCGGGCCTACTCGAACGTCCTCGCGCAGAGCCGTCGGAGGCCCACCGCTCGCGACCGCGAGCCGGCTTCGGTGGCGATGTCCCACTCCTGTGGTCTAGAGCAGGCTTGCTCGATCCTCGCGGGAAGGTGTCTCCCCGCGCGTGTCTTTCGGGCGTGCAAGGTGCCGCTTCTCCCTGTGAGGGCTGAGGCGGGCTGTTAAGCGCTTCGTCGCCAGGGCTAGAGCGGCTTCCCGAGGGCGAGCGAGCGTTCTGGGGAATCACAAGTTTGCAACGCTGTTACGGGCTTGTCGCCGCTGTCACCGACCTGTCGGCGCCAGCGCGTCGGCCCCTACCTTGCTTCGCGCCGTGGTCTGGGGCACCTGCCTGTCGAGGCGAACTCCTCGTAGAACTTGCGAGCTCCCGTCCTGTGAGTCGGTCCTGCAATCTCCTTCAAGTGCTCCGGGTGGTGCCGCTGGCAGCCCTGTCGCGCGGGTGCGCCCCTTTGGACCCAGTCGCCGCGCGCCCCTTTGCTTGCCGACGTGGCTGAGCGGCCCCTGTCCGCTAACGCCGTTTCCCTGCGTGCCGTTTGCAGGCGTTGTCTCTCTAGGAGTTTGGTGCGCCTGTCGCAAGGCCATTCGTAGATTGTGCGTTGGGCCGCCTCTTTCCACGCTGCGAGGCGCTCCCGGATCGCACTCGAGTTCGCGATGACGCCCTGCCCGCGTTCTGAGCAGGGGTGCAAGGATGGGCGATCCATGCGGGTATTTCATGCCCAGGAGAACGTAGTTCCAATCCTCCATGGACATTCTGAGATTGTTATCCAACACATTCGCTTCATTGAGGTCGGCGAAGTCACACATGCAGCCGTCTGCTTCTACCAGCCAAGGCCAATCCAAGATAGAACAAAAATTGTTGTCCTTTGATAAGCCGGTCGTTGGTCTCAGCTTGTTCCTTCCAAATGTTGACCCTCCTTCGGAGGCCATCATGTCTGAGGATTGCTGCGTGCTGTAGCTATTTTCATGCCGAGTGTCTTGAACTCGCCACTGTCCGCCAGGGACTCATATGTTGTTGCAGTAGCATCAACCATGCGGAGCCAAGTGGTGCACTTATCTGGTCTACCTGAGGCAGAGCTCGTCGTCTCATACGCTTCCTGCTTCCACTGTCGGAAATACGGTGTAGCAGGTAAGCTTCGACATTCAACCTTTTCGGCCTCTTTGTTCCTCGTCTTGTTTAGCAGTAGCGGTACTGCATCTTCTGCGGCGCTCTGCCGCTCATTATCGGATGATCCACCGCCCGCGCCGTGAGGCTCATCCCCGAAGGGTGGGGGTTGCGCACCTGAATGTGGTTCGTCCTGGATAAGTGGTCGGGCCCGCTCGGCCAGTATCGCTGCAGTGCGTTGGTGTTGGCCGAGGTTCTCAGACTTGGGCGTGGCGTTACCGTTGTGCCTCTGCTGAGCTCGTATCGAACACCCGCTGTCTCTGCGCGTTTGGCGTCGTATTGCTCCGCCGCAATGTGCCGGCGCGCCGCGCGCGCGGCGTCGGGTTTCCCCGCCGCGACAAAAACTCGCGCGCAAAGGGTGCGAGGGCGCTGCGCGCTGGTGCCATTGAGGGCCTGGTCTCAGCACTATCCCGCCCGCGAGCTCGCGCGGCTGTGGTGACATGGACACAGGCCGCGGCGTCCAGATTGCCGGGCTCGCGAACCTCGTAACCGGTGGTGCACGTCTAGCAGAGGCCGCCAAAAAACGTCTCTCCGATTAATTTCGGTAATCGTGCGCTTCTTTCTTGATCGTATCGGTCAACATATTCAACTTGGCCAATCCAGCATCCGCCTCATTTCTCGTCCTATCCAGGCCCATGGCGTTCATCCTATCGTGGCCCTGGGCTCTGGGGCTGGTTATTGTAATCGGCACTTATGTTCGCACGCCTCGAGTCTTTCGTCCGTGTCTCTGACCTGTTTCTGTGCGTCCAGCAGCGCAATTTCGTGCGCGCATATCGAGATTCTTCTGCAGGCGTGGCAACTCGTGTTATTTAGCTGCTCTTGCAAGGCAGCGTGGTTCATCCCTGTACCATTCACGGAGCAATTTGCTGCTGCGTGCTCTTGCAAGGCAACATGACAATCCAGCAGGTCACTTGGCAACACGGTCGCGTCGACTCGACGCTCAATTGGTTCATGGCTCGCGCCGATTCGATGCTTATCGGTTTTTTGCCCGCGTCAATCCGACGCTCATCATTATGGGTCACGCCAGCTCGACGCGAATTGGTATATGTCTCCGAAGGCGGTCGTGAGGTTTGACTCTGCTGCGCGCTGTGGCTCATCATGGCTGACATTGCAACTATACCTTCTTCTGGCGTGCGACCACGGGGGAAGAAAACGTGGGTAGATAGCCCACCCGCTTTCCTCTCTTCCCGAATTCATCCTGAACACGGCCGGCCTTCCTATGTCATTCGATTTCTCCAACGCAATCACTTCGGTGTCGGGTTTCCCCGCCGCGACGCCCGTGGCGTCAGGTTTCTCCGCCGCGACGCCCGCGGCGCCACGTTTTCCCCGCCGCGACGCCCGTAGCGTCAGGCTTCCCCGCCGCAGTGGCCCTGTTATGCGAGGCACCTGCGGGCGTCGGTGCGTCGACGTAGCACCCTGTAGCGGTGGCGCTTTCATCGCCAGCTTATCGATCCGCCCCAGCCGGTGCGGCGACAACTGACGGGTCGCACATCATGCCGTCAGCGGCCCCGTCAAACTCGAACGACGCGTCCGAGATTATGGCTTCGATATTCGCGACCAGCAATTCCGAGATGTTCACCCCCCCGCAAGAGCGGGCCTTTAGGCTGATAACCTATGTGTGGGGATGGAATGGCCTATGGGCCAGGCCTCCTTCCCGGTCAAACCCTTATTGGTCGACTGCCCTGGTTCGCATGTGAAAGCGGCCGACTTCCCGTCATTTTTTCAAAATTGCGTCCTGCCGTGACTCACGAGAACGCCCCAGGGGAAAAAATACTCCGACGGAAGGACCCCACATGAGAATCCTTTGGGCGAATCTGGAAAAAGCGCTCACCGTCGTCCTCGTGGTTGGTGAGGCGTCCTGACTGTCTCTTCTGCGTATATTTATTCTCGCCCTGGCGCGGGCCCTCCCCCCGCTCCCTACGTTGCCCCCGACCTCGCCCTCCGTTTTTTTCGCGCCCCGCCACCGCCTCGCCTTTCCATTGCACGAGCGCGCATGTCGGTTTTCCTCGGCGCCGTCGCCGCCTCGGCCAGCACAGGCGCGTTCTCTAATGGCCACGTCGCGCAGCCGTTGGGACAACCCCGCGGGCCAGGCTGCCGGGACAACCCCGCGAGCCGTTCGCGCGCAAGACCAAGCCGTTGGGACAACCCCGCGGGCTTCGAGCGGGGCGCAGCCGCGCTCAGGCGGGCAGCACGAAGCCCAGCTCTGCCGCGAGCTGCTTCGCCTCCGCCCTGGACAAAACCGCTCTCTTGTCGAACTCCAGGAGCGCCTTCCGCAAGGACGCTGGCGGCCCTCGCTCCAGAAACTCCCGCGGCGGCGGCCGCAGGATCAGCATGTTCCGCATGCACGTGGCGCGGGAGAGCATGACGTAGAGGTGCAACCACCACTGCTCGTCAGACATGCCCGTGCGGCCAGCATCCTCGTCTCTCGCGCAGTCGATGGTGACGCCCTTGCGCAGCGTCTGGCCCTGCGACAGCGTGGAGGTCAGGTAGGACGCGTGGGTCAGGGTGAACCCCGAGCGGCGCACGTTGTGCGGCCCCGAGCTCTGCCATGTGAACTCCTTTTCGCTGGGCCTGAACATTAGCAAACTCCGCGCCCGCGCCTCGGCCTGGCCGTCGTCGTCGGCGTCTTCGGCGCCCTGTCGTCGTCGGCGTCTTCGTTGGCTCCGGACATCCAGAATGTGGCCTGGGAATGGTGTTCTGGAAAGAGGAAGAACACGAAGTGGTCTACAGTTGGCTCCGGGGTTTCAAAATGTGGCCCGGGAATGGTGTTCTGGGAACACGAAGAACACGAAGTGGCCTACAGTTGGCTCCGGGCATGCACAATGTGGCCCGGGAATGGCGTTCTGGCAGCGCGAGAGCCCAAAAGTGACGACAGTTACACGGTTTGGATGACCCGCTCGGATTACCAACATGATCTGCGGGCCCCATAGGGAGGGGGCTCCCGCCTGAGACTTCCTCACAATTCACTCACAGACGAGGCTCCCGCCTGAGACTTCCTCCAAATTCAAGCCTGAAGAGCCCAGAAGTGACGACAGTTACACGGTTTGGATGACCCGCTCGGATTACCAACGTGAAGCGCGGGCCCCATAGGAAGGGGTTCCCGCCTGCGACTTCCTCGCAATTCACTCACAAACGAGGCTCCCGCCTGAGACTTCCTCCGCACTCACGCTTGAGGAGCCCAAAAGTGACGACAGTTACACGGTTTGGATGACCCGCTCGGATTACCAACATGATCCGCGGGCCCCATAGGGAGGGAGCTCCCGCCTGAGACTTCCTCACAATTCACTCACAGACGAACTCCCGCCTGAGACTTCCTCCAGGTGAGTATGTGAATGAGTGAGCGTGCGACAGAGTGCGAGTGATGATGATGATGATGATGATGATGATGATGATGATGATGATGATGATGATGATGATGAGTATGTGAGTGACTGAGCGTGTGAGAGAGCGCGAGTGATGATGCTGATGTTGATGATGAGAGAATGTGAGTGAGTGTGAGTGTGAGTGAGTGGTGATGATGAGTGAGTGGGTGAGTGTGCGAAGGCAGAAGAGGAGAGGGGGTGGGGTGAGTGTTCCTGCGCGGGGTGTGCAGAGAAAACAAGAACCCCACTTTGGATGTGGGGAATAAAATGTTTGCAATCGTCCCGCACGACACCGATGATGGGCGGCGAGAGCGCGCGCCCCGTTATACCTGTCTCTCGGGAACCAATGCTGCGATCCGGTGCTTCACGTTCGGGCGCAACAGCAACAGGAGGATGGGACGAGGAAGGGCGGAAACGGGAATGACCCAAGACGGACCCGCGACCCCCGAAACCCTGATGCGGATACGGTCGAAAACAAACATGCGCCAAAAACGAAAAGTAAAACGTTGACGCCCGTGGCCGCCTCGTGCACTGCGTTTGTCCGGCGAAGTTTGCCAGTCGTGGCCGCCTTGTGGCCGCGTCATGTGCTGAATGGGTCCAGCGAAATTTGGCTACTTTGCCTCCCGCGGCCACCTCGTGGCCGGCTCGTGCTTTGGGTGGGTCTGGCGAGGTGTCGCCGCGTTGCCGCCCGATGCCACCTCCTGGCCGCCTCGTGCGCGTGATGGGTCTGGCGAGGTTTCGCCGCGTTGCCGCTCCGTGGCCACCCCGTGGCCGCCTTGTGCGTTGGGTGGGTCTGGCGAGGCTTCGCCGCGTTGCCGCCCGTGGCCGCCTCGTGCGCTGGGTGGGTCCAGAGAGGTTTCGCCACGTTGTCGCCTCGTTGCCGCCCGTTGCCGCCTCGTTGCCACTCGGGGGGTCTGGTGAGGATTCGCCGCACTGGCCCCCGTTGCCGCCTCGTTGCCGCGCCACCACGTAGCTTACACTGCATAGCTTGCTCTACATAGTTTACGCCACTCTAGCTTACACCACGCAGATATCACGACATATAATCACATGCCTTACAGGACATCCATTGCACCACGCAGCTTGCACCACGCAGCTTGCACATCCACAGGGTAGTCACTTACTGCTTGGGGCTCACACTGGCTAACACTGTTCTTGGAAATCCGCGGCCCCAGCCGGATCTCCAGACCCCTGGCCAGGGCGCGTTTTCCCGTCCCGGATTCGCTTTTGGTCCTGGGGCCCGAGGACGGGCCTCAGAGGCCCACGCCGAGGAAAAACGCCGAGGTTCAATAAATCATACGATGGAGGTCGGTCCACAGGAAACCCTCCACAAGAAACCCGGACCCTGAGACCCCAGGACGTCCATCGACTTTTGGTGTGGGAGCGTCACGCTTTCCGTCGCAGAACCATCGAACCCCGAGAACACCCAGGGCACCCCGGAGACAAGCAGGGTGTTTTCTGGCATGTCAAAGATCTGGGGCGCCGCGCGCCCTCGCCGCCGAGCCAGAGAGGCGCCGCGGGGGCGGCCCGCACGCGGTCTCCGAGCCTCGCGGCGGCGCCGGTGCCCGCGCGGCGGCACCCTTAGGCCCGAGAAGCCTCGCCGAGGGGCCGACGGCTCCCCGCTGCGCCTGCCCGCTGGCCCCCACCGGGCGGGGGCGGAGGGTCGTGCTCTGTTTCAATCTCGGAGTGTTTCTTGGAGGTCCCCTCCTCTTCTCTGCCTAATTCAAGCTTCGCGCGGCCCGCTTAGCTTCGACCGGAAGAGGTGCGCTCTCGACCCGCGGATCAAAAAGAATGTTTCTTGGAGGTCTCTGCGGCTGCTCCTCCTCCCCCAGAAGCCTCCTGGGTGGAGTCGGGGAGTCGCGCTGCATCCCCGATGCATCGGCGCCGTGGGCATGGAGGACGTCGGGCTTCGACTCGAGCCGCATCGCCAATGCATCGATCCCAGCTGCTTGGGCTTCCGCGCCCTTTTCTCTTGCTGCCAGACGATGAATTCGTCGCATGTCCCCGGCAACTCGAGCGCCCGTGCGGACCGCCTCTGCCGTGCTGCGACGGAGCAGATGCTTCCTCGAGTCCCCTTGTGCCCTTGCTCGGGCCCCGGGACGACCAGAAGGTTCGGCAGCGAAGTCGCGCGGCGTCGCAGATATCCGACGATTTGTTTTTTTCAATCTGGGCGTTTTTCCCTGATTTCGGCCGCTCGGGCCCGCTATCGGGCCCCAGGACGGCCAAACATGAACCTAGGACGCAAGACTACGCCTGGGGAAGGGGTCGGGTGTTCCAGGGCCGCGAACTGAACAGAAACCAAATCGGAGGATGTCTGGGCGTGCGAGATGATTGGCTTTCCCCATCTCGCTTTTCACCGCCCCAGTGGGTCAACATGCCGTTTGAGGTTGGGGGGGGCGAACTCTGGGACGCATCTCTGGGGCCCTCTGGACCTCCAACTCCACTCTCGGATGCTCCCAAGATGCCCAACACGCCGTCCAAGCCGGCCCCAGAAGGGTTCCGACACGGCCAAGAGGCCGAACGACGGCCTGTCCACATTTGGCCACTGAGCCTCCCAATCGTACGTATCCCTGGAGAAGCAAAATCACTCAAACTCATTGTCACTTTTCACGGTTTTTGCCTTCTCGCGTTTTCGCTTTCGATGGGCTTATGAGGTCTCCGGAATGGCCCCGAAGGTCCCTGCTAAGATCGCCCCAAGAGCGTTCCCAAAGAGCTGGAGAAACAGTGTGTCAGGCTCCACGCGGGGAGCCCTAACTTAGGACTCCCCCTTTTTGGATCAATGGCCTCCAGGATGATTCCAAGAGGACCCCCACGGCTCCCAAGAGGGCCCCAAGACACCTCCAAGATAATTCCAAGAGGCTTCCATAGGTGTCAAGTTGGGCTTGGATGGCCTTTCCGTTGATCCAAATGAGCTTGCTCAAAAGAGGTCTGACTCAACTCATAGGACTGGTCGGATGGCAATGGGTTCTTTGGGTATGGCAATATTTTCCTTGGTTATGGCACTGTGTTCCTTTGCAATGCTATTACGTTCCTTGGGTATGGCAACCGACCCCTTGGCTAATGCAATGGATGTTTGTTTGCTTACATGATTGTTGCGTTCCTTGGTATGATAATACCTGATTGCTTGCCTGTTCTGTGTTATGACGATGGGGCTCTTGGGTATGTTAATGGATTCCGTGGGCACGCCAATGGATACCATGGGTGTGCCAGTGCGTTGCCCGGATGGTGGATGTCAGCCAGCGTGGGCCCCAAACTGTGACTTCCTGCATTCTATGAGGTGCAACCTAGGTGGTGCAATCAGTGTGGTGCCATCTAGGCGGTGCAACCCATGTGGTGCAGTGTTGCAAGGCAATGTACAGCAACGTAAAATAATGCAACGTAATGCAAATCAGCGCGATTGCAGTGCAACTAAACGCACAGCCATGTAGCGGGATGCAACGCAACAAGGCAAGGCAATGCAAACCACTACAAACCATGTAACGCGGCGCAATGCAACGCCCTGCGATGGCAATGCAATGCGATGCACACCAATGAAACGCAATGCAACCCACTTCAAATCAATGCATATAAATGCAACGCAATGCAAAGCAATGCAATGCAACGCACTGCAATACAACACAATGCAAAGCAATGCGCTGCAGCGCAATCCAAAACGACGCAACACAATGTAAGGCAATGCAAAGCAATGCAATGCAACGCCATGCACTGTGACTGCAATGCGCAGCAATGCAACGGGGCGGTGGCGACGGGGCGGCGACGGCGACCACATGGCGGCGGACACGACAGCAGAGCCCAGACTACGGGCGGCGACGAGGCGGCGGCGGGGCGGCGACGGCGACCAAAAGGCGGCGGACCCTACAACGGAGCCCAGACGACGGGCGGCGACGAGGCGGCGACGGGGCGGCGACGGCGACCACCAGGCGGCGGACCCCACCAAAGGTTTCCAGACGACGAGTGGCGACGAGGCGGCGACGGCGACCACAAGGCGGTGGACCCGACAATGGAGCCCAGTTCCTGAGAAAACAAACAAGAACTCCTAAGTGCAAGCGCAGTTTGGCAAATTGTATGGATTCCTTGGGTATGCCAGTGAGTCCCTGAGGTACGCAATGGATCCCTCGGCTATGCCAATCCATTCCCTGGGTATGCCAATGGAATTCGGTTGGGGCCTATGAAGTCCACTGGAATCGAACGGGGACCAACGGAACCCGGAAGCCAATGGAGCCGAACGGACTCCTATGATCTCCAATGGAGGCCCATGAAGTCCACTGGAGTCCAACGGAGATTAATGGAACACGAAGGAAGCCAATGCAGCCCAGTAGAGGCTTCTGGGTCTGGAAATAAATGGAGTCCACTGAAGTCCACTGGAGTCCAATGGAGACAAATTAAGCCCAATGCAGGCCAATGGAGGCCGGTGGAGTCTAATGGAGTCCAATGTAGTCTTTTCAGTCGGCTCGACTTTTCCTATTTGGAGTCAGCTCTGGCAGATATTTCAATGGGCTGCTGGGGATACGATTAGTCCAAACATCTGCATTCGCCCATCCACCTGTCGGCGGATTGGCGCGAACCTTTTAAGAACTGACAGCAAGTCACCAAATTATTGAAGCGGCCGCGCCCCGCGCCAGCGCCGCCCTGCGAGCATCAGCCTCGGCTTGCACGCAGGCGGCTGCGCTCACAGGGGAGCCCCTACTCGATACAGTGCTTTGAATTCCGAGACGGCTTCGGCCCGAATGTGTGGAGATAGAGAGATAGAGAGAGAGAGACAGAGAGAGACAGAAAGAGAGAGAGAGAGAGAGAGAGACCCTTCTCCTCCATTTCATTTCAGTGGGTGCAACGAGGGCCTCTCAGCCTGAGCCATGGGCGCAAAGACCCCAGGCCGGCAGGGCGCAGTCCGTTCACCTTTGGAAGGACTTCTTGGTTCGGAGTGGAGCGCGGGACTCGAGAAGCTTGGCAGAGAACTGCCGGAACAATTTCACATCTACTGAGCACGCGTGCCAGATCAGCCCTCCAGGGCAGGACATGAGGGGCTGCAGGCGCGCTTCTGGACCTGCGGTGGCATGATGTCTCCGGCTCAGAAGTCTAACTATTCAGACAATGTGGTCAGACCGAGGACTTGTCCAAGTGACGCCTCCAGACCCCCGACGTCATGACTTTGTCGGAACGTGGACCCCTGGAGGTCCCGACTCATTCCCTGGGCTCGGCTCTTCGCCCCGAGTCATTCTTTGACGGTCCCGAGGCCAGGCGAGGGCCCCGAGGGGCCGAAAACGATCAAACCCCTTTCGTCGTGTTCTTTCATGGCCCGAGGCGGTCTGGGTCCCTGGACGCTCGTCCGAGAGCCTTCCCCACGGAGCACCGCTCCGCAGAGGTGGCCGCCCCGCGCCGGCGATCAGACGCTGCCCTCCGCGCTGGCCTGGCTGCTCGCGTCCAGCACCCGCAGCAGCCTGCGCATGTCTATGGACCGCGCGGCCCCCCTCATTGAGGAAAACGAAGTATGCACATGCACCGATCCTGACAAGGCCCGCCCTGGGTCCAGGATCGGTGTGTGTATGTGCATATCTCTCGTCGCCCGGCCTCAGGTGGCCGATTCCATGGATCAGCTCGTTGTGGTCGATCGCGTCGTCGTCGCCCCTCAGCAGGTCGAACACGGTGTCCGCGTCGCTGGCGTCGAGGTCCATGGAAGCGAGCCACGTCTTGATGCTGTCGTCCTCCAAGATGGCCCGGAACTCTTCTCTCTGGATTCGCCCGCTGCTGTCAGCGTCCGCCTCGGCGAAGAGGGCCGACATCTTGTCCTTGTGCTGCCTGGCGGCCTTCATCTTCATCCTGACCATGATCTCGTCATCGGTGTGTGCAACCTTGAATGTTTCCTGCATGAACACAGCGTTGATCACACCGACGACGGCGATTCCCATCACGAGCTTGTACGAGAGTGCGGCGACCATGAACCCTTCGTGCAAATTTTCCATGAGCCAGCGGCAGATCGGCGTCCAGTTCGCCAATGCCAGCTCGAAGAGCGACAGCATGGAGCGGGTGTAAGTCCCCCAATACGTGAAGAGATACTCTTTGTCATCGTCGGACAGGTTGCCCTTCTGCAGATACGCCGAACGGAACACATTCGTGGCGATCATGGCTACAAAGGTCTGTATGCTCAGCAGCAGCAGGACGGACCAAAAGAGTGCCCAAATAGAGGACTGGAGTGCCGTCGTCATGAGGTGGAGGGAATCGAACCCCTCCATCGTTCGGACGAGCTTCACAAGACGCAGCAGCTTCGCAGCCCGGAGCAGTCGCAGCAGCTGGATGCCCTCGAGCAGGTGAGTGCCGCTGACGATGACGGAGAGGTCCGACAAGACAACCACCGCCAAGTCAAAATTATCAGTGGGACGTCTAAAAAACAGGCAGCCCGTCCCCACGATCCGCAGGGCCACCTCGACGGTGAATATAACGGCGAATATAGCCTCGAAGATGCGGAACAACGACTCGTTGTGGACTCTGTCTGCCCACTCGTCGGAGCCATAAGCCGTGTAGAATCCGATGTCGTACCCTACCTGAGCTCCGCTGAACTGCTCGTCGATGACCATGATGACGGTGTTGACTAGGATCAGGCATCCGCAGAACAGTTCGAAAGCGGGCGAGTCTACCAGCTTGTGAACGGCTTTGCTGACCCGGTTGCTGGGCGTGCCGCTCTGGGCCTTCTTGTGGAACAGGGAGTTCGACTTGGTCTTCTTGGGTCGTGGAGCTGTCGCCGCAGCAAAGGTCGTGGCCGCTTGCACCAAGCGACCCTCTGACCCTTGCCCGTCTGCCACGATCGGAAATTCGGGCCCGCAGCAGTCTGGGCCTTCAGAAGGCCAAACCAATGTTTATCTATATGATGCGCATACCCCACCTGCGCATATATGTATATATGTATGTATATATACATATATATGTATATGTATATATATATATACATCGACTTATAGGAACATCTGTCTGTATGTCTATTACCTGCTATATCTGCACAATCGTGGAAAGTGCGACCCCCCCCCCCAAACTGGGACCCCCAGATTCGTGGCCCTGGGGGCCCCTCGGACGCCCCTGCAGCAGGCTCCCCCGAGCATTCTGGGGCGCCCGGACGCCCCTGCTGGACCCAGGCAGCGGGCCCGAATCGGTCAGACGGGCGGGCGGGCGGCCCAGCGAGAGCACCGAGCGGCCCCAGACACTGGGTTTTTTTTGCAATCCTTCGTAGGATTGCAAAGGATTGCAAAAGGTTGTTTTGCAATCCTTTGGACACTGGATTGCAGACACTGGGTTTTTTTGCAATCCTGGGTTTTTTTGCAATCCGACGCCCGAAGACGACCCAAAGAAGCCCCCCAAGAGGACTTGGAAACTCACCACCAAGCAGTGCTTTCCCTCTTTCTTGAGGAGCATTTTTGGAATGCACGATTCTTCGGTCTTCTGGGCGCCCGAAATCGCCCAAGAGGCATAAACATGCATCTCAAATGATCCGAACGAGTCTACAGAGAGAGACCAAAAGAGCCCCAAGACGGACCAACAAGGCCACAACACGATCCGAAGAGAGCCCCATGACGGCCCAAGATGGCCCATAAGACGCCTCCCGAACAATTCCAAATCGTGACCCCGTCGTTCAGAGAGACCGCGGTTGGAGGCAGGGTGGCCCGAGGAAGCCCCAAAGGACCTCAGAAGGCGCCCAGACCTCAAGAGGGCCTTAAATGGTTTCGTGAGGCCCCCTAGAAGCTCTCCAAAGAGGAGCCGCCGCAAAAAGAGCTGGGGAGCATGGGGAAGGATTCGCAGGATAGGGCGATAATGAAGCATACGAAGAAACATGACATAATGATGAATCATGGCATTATGATGGCGACGACGCAATAAAAGGCAACAATGAAAGATCGCTATATCTACCGTGCTTCCCATCCCGTCAGCATGCCAAACCCGAAGAACCAAGGTTCATGAAGCGAAGCGCCATCGCAGACTTACACGCACGCACGCACGCACGCACGCACGCACGCACGCACGCACGCACGCACGCACGCACGCACGCACGCACGCACGCACGCACGCACGCACGCACGCACGCACGCACGCACGCACGCACGCACGCACGCACGCACGCACGCACGCACGCACGCACGCACGCACGCACGCACGCACGCACGCACGCACGCACGCACGCAGGCACGCAGGCACGCACGCACGCACGCACGCACGCACGCACGCACGCACGCACGCACGCACGCACGCA